CATTTTTACTGCAATTATATAAGTAACATGTTCTTTGTATCGCTTGGAGTGAAGAGGACAGACTTACTTTACAAACAGTTAAACTGTTGAATAAAACTAGTGCAGCAGAGTTTACCACATCAGGGTAAGTCTCTTGTGCCCTTTCAGGTACCATGCCAACTCAAACAGCCTCATAAATCTGTGCTGGAGACGGCACAGTGGAATAAAGCAACACAAGCAGAGCGGCTTTGACACGGCAACATTTCACACACTGCAGTTTTGCTCTCCTCTCTGGCAGCTCCAGGAGACTTTCTATTTGGTTGGAAGAGTAAGTGTCCGTTGGTGCTCCCCGCTGTTTTACGTCGCGGGGGAAACATCTTTATCATGGCGTATATTATTCCAAAACACAGCGTCCTGCATGGAAATGGCCTCAGCCTGTCTGCTCTCGCTGCCTCTCTGATAGACTACATTGCTCCTTATAAACTGTCCATGGTCCATAAATCGAGCGGTGCTGAGCAGAGGCGCGCTGGCCTGCAGGGACATGCACGCTCAGGCCTCTGCTACTGCTGCTGCTGCTGCACTGAGACAGGGGTGCCATGACAGTTGTTGATTTAACAAAACACACACAAATCAGAAATAGTGTTGTGGAGGCCAGTTCATGCAGTGTAAACATTTATTGATATGGATAGTTTGATATAATTCAATGTCATGTCTATAAAATTATAATACAATTCTTGGATATATGTGTGTATCCTAAGAACAGCCTGTTAATGATCATAAAAGCACCATTCTTTTCATTGTGTGTGTGTAGTTTTAGTGAGAGTTTATTTTTGAGTGTGTGTTTTTGTTATTGTTTATCATAGCACTACTTGCTATGTAAATTAATTTTATTCCAGGCTGTTTTGTGATTCCTCTTAATGCATATGTGTAAATATTGTGTGCCATTGGTTCAAATGTTTGGCCTCCATGAGCGAACATGGATATTGGAAAACTGATACTATGTTTATACTTTAGGACTTTTGATTATTTGACCAAAACAAAGCTCAGGCTCTTCATAGAGACGACATATTGGAACACATTTTTATAGAAAAAAATATAAGTCGTCAAAGAAATCTCTTCTGAGCCGGTTTTTAAGTCCATGTGATGTTCAAAAACAATGAATGGATTGAATTATTTGGTTCTTCTATTCTATGCTACAGAAAAATCAAACCAGATGATAAGATAAGAAGAAGACGAGACAAACCTAAATGACTAATCAATTACTAAGTTAATGTTATTTAACTTATTGCGCACAGTGTTCAGAGTGATATGCAGTGTGTTCTGTATATGTGTGTATTTGTAATATGTTGATATACTAAATATTTATAAATGAAATGTTCTTGCTTATCCATGAAGCTCTGGAGTTTGCTGTCTGTAGATTTCCCATATCCTGTAAGACTGTAAATACTGTAGATAAGTTATCAACTTCATCCTAAAGTCTATTGATCTGTAAAGAGTCATATGGATGTGAAATTGCAAACTTGTACTTACTTTATTTTTTGCTGACAGAAGAAACAGCTGAAAGTCAACTTTCACACATGCACTTGTATTCTCTAAACATTTACAGACATTGTTCTTGTTTTTATTCACCTTTTCCTCCCACTGTTCTGCAGAGCCTGCTGCAACGACGCAACAAATCTAGGTTCTCATACTTTACGTTAGCACTAATGAAACATCCTCTTTCACTGTTTCTTGCCGGTTTCGACTAAAGACATTACGGTGGCAGGCTGCAGCAGCTCTGTCTCTGCAGCAGACACACTTGTGTGCGCTCCAAGGCTCTGCATGTCTAACAGGCTCTGAGCACAGATACAACAATGAGCAGCACAATAGTCACACACCGCCACAACTGGGAGACGGACGCAGACAGTGACAGGAGGAGAGCTAAACAAGCTGACACTTTTAACCCATCACTGATTCAACACTGGCAAATATGCAGACAGCCTGCTCCTGTCAGCAGCCACGAGGATACACACTTTGTTCTATTGTGAATGCAAAAGCTACAGACGTACTGAGGAGAACTATCTCTGAGTGTTTGCAAAATCCATCCATGTTTTATAATGGTTTAAAGCAGCTAATACATTGTTGGATTCATCTCAGGCGGCTTTATGTGTTATTGAAATACCCTGAAGAATATATCATGTTGCACAGTGTCTTCTCTGTCTTCACTTTTTTGTTGTCTTTTGTGCCTATGGGAATTTTAGTACAAATATTCCAATGTGTATTAATTGCAAATGGCAAAGAAACTGATTCTTAATCTGAAGATAGAGTTTTGTCAATTATAGTATTCTACACGCTCTGTTGCCTCGCCACAGTCCTGTTCTGGTACAAGTTTTATTACCTTATATGTAAACTTGTTTTATACTTTGTTTCTTTACTAAGCTATAAATAGATATTTTATTTTGTATTTGATATATTATTTCTTTTATAGAGTTGTGCTATACTGTGGGCTCCTCATTCCTACTGTAACTTGTGATACAACACTGAAATTCTCCCACTGTGGGACAAATGAAGAATCTCTTAATCATTGCCAACTTGTTTCCATAGAGACATCATTTAACAAAAATCTTAGGAGTAAATACGTGAGTTGCATGACACATCAGCACAAGCAGCTCAAACTAATCCTTAAATATGTTTTGCAGGCTTTTTTTTTTTGTTGCTTTCAGTTTGCCTGAAAATCTCTTCCCAATTAGTATCTGTAAAACGATTCCTTCCAAAGCTGCAAACACGATTGTCAGTGTCCACAAATAAATAATGTAATGGGAGTTTTGTGGCTTGGGGCTAGTTTCTTATCAGTTCTGGTTGTGGCTGGAATGCTGCCCCTCTGCCCGTGTCTCGACTTGCTCGTCACTGTTTACTTTGGGAGGCCGGAGCTCGTGTCCGCGCCGCTCCACTGCGCCACATGCAGAATTAAAAGTCAGCCATGTATGCGGCCGTCTCATACATCCACTATTCAAATGACATATGGAAATGGGATGAGGGAAAGCGACAAGTACCCCAGACTTCATCCTCAATATGTTGTGTGCTATACTTTAGTCAAAACAGAATACAAAATGAGTTCTGCATTTCTGAGGTTTCACATTGGAATATATAGTGTGTTATGCTATTGTGTTATTTTTAATGGCTCTTTCTTTTCAATGTTAGAAATGATGATACGAGCTTTTAAGATATTTGCATCCGTTTTCCATCCATCTATATGTATGTATTTCTTTATCCTGTTAGTATTATTGAAGTGAAATGGAAAGCTGTAAAGTAAGCAGGTGTGTGGAAGGTGAGGGAGAGGAGCACTATTATTAGATGGGACCCCCAGGTGAGCGGGGTCTCACTGGCACTGCCAAGGTGACCTTCTACGCGGTGAGTAAAATCCCAAAATCTCAAATTAGCAAAGAGAAACCAATGGAAACACAACTCTGTTCCAGGAAAACTCTGCTTTACACAATAATGTCGCCTATATGTACATATATACAGTGCTGTAGTGTTTGGATATTACGCATTCCTCCTGACAATGAGCCGTGCGTCAAGACGAAGCAAACCATCCTTCTCTCGTGCGTCATGGAACTTCCTGAGTCTGCGCGCAACGGAGAAGATTCTCTTCTAATGTTTACTTTGTTTTTCTCTGGCTTAAAAAAAATAAAAATACAAACATTTTATTCAACTGATGTTGTTTATTTTAGACGCAGATTCGGGCCATGGCAGCGGCCTGTTTGGAGAGACTTGAGCATGAAGTGATTGCTCTGAAAAGGGGCGTCTTGCTTATTTGGCGCTGGGGCCTCAGTCAGCTCTGAAAGAGGATCTCATGACTTCATCTCCCACAAACAGCCCGCTCCTAAAACACTGCCCGTTTTACTCAAACGCATTTTGAGCCTTCGTTCGCCGGCTCAGAATCCAAATCACTTCAGACTCTGATGTCTGCATAAAGATCTATCTAACGGCAAATAATCCTCAGAACGCCATAATGGAACGCATTCGCCCTTTTCCTCCTCTTTTTGGGCTTATTTTTTATCAGCAGTGTCTCGAGGTTAAACCAATAGACACTCTCCTCTCGGCTCATGCTGCGGTGAAGCAGAGAAAACGTCGCGCACATAATGAGAGCCTCTTGCATTAAACGGACAAACAGAGATCTCGCATCCCTGACCCCGAGATGCTCCTCGCACAGCCATTGATCATCCGCCCTTATGAGATAATGCAATTACAAACATCAATAAGGAGCTGCGAGCGGAATCATTATGTGGTGACAGTGATAAATGACGCTGCACCTCTCAAACAATCCCCCGCTGCCCAAGGGGCTTTGAGGGCCGGGGCCCCGTCGCCAAGGAGACAGATGACATCCAAAATGGCCCCAGCGTCGCTCAACAGTCAAACACTTTTTGTTGCTTTCCCCCCTTCCCCTTTCAGGAGCTTTTGTCTTAGAGACAGCTGCTGTGCGATTCTCCTCAACTTTGTACTTTTCCCTTCGGTGTGTTGTCTGCTGTTTGGATCTGCAGTTGATTTGATAAAGTTGCTGAACTATCGACATGTCACGTGGGTCACATTTCCTGTGGGATGATTTTCTCATCAGAGCGATAGTTTATTGATTGTTTGCTGTTGTCCTGTGCTTTTATGAACCTTGAGTCAGTTTCATTCCAAGCGTTCAGAATCAGAATCAGAATCATTTTCATTGCCACGTAAGTAACAGGAAGTCACAGACTTGGAAATTGCTTTGGCTCAGTGCAACAGTCAGAAAGAGATAATAAAAAATATTTTTATTATCTCTTTCTGACTGTTGCACTGATCTCGGGTCACTTCTGTGATGCAATAAAAATCCAAATGTTTTGAAATTGCGATGGCTCCAGAGCAGTGAAGAGTGTGTCTGCAGTGGAACATGCAGAGGCCTACAGGCCTTCGTCACATTCAAACACACGTCTTTCTTACAGCTGCTCTTCAGGCCTGCAGACCAAGGCAAAGCTCTGACTCTATAATAAGGGTTAATCAATAATCTCGGATGATCAGGGGCTGTGTGAAGGCTGTGGGGCGTAAAGCGGGGCTGGTACCTGTTGGAGCAGGAGCTCAGGCTCAGGCCCGCTCTGCTGCAGAGGAGAGCCGCGCCGCTGCTCGCTGACATGCTGCTCCAGTCTCTCACTCTGACAGGTCACTGCGCGGTCATGCGGCTCGCAAACTCTGTACTACTCTACTCTCCGTGTTAGGGTTTCATGATCATCCTCTTGAAATACATTCATCTGAACAGTTTTAAAGCGATGCAATTCAAACAGTGCATTCAGATGGAGCTCATGAGATATCTGGGTCACGCGTATAATTTGACTACACATGCACCAAACCCGAGGACGTAAAAACAAGAAGAGAAATGATCTAGTTGCAAAATATGATTTATAATTAAATAAGGAGTTTATAAGGAGAACATTACTGTAGTCTGTGTGTTTACTTTAAATAGCCCTTTATCCAAATTAAAATACAATGTACACACTCTAGGATATTACTATTATTAACAAATAGCTCAAGAATGAAAAAATAAATAAAATAAAATTAATAACATACGTTAGGGGAGGACACAACATGTCCATCAGAGTTTTAGGACGTAAATACCTCCAGCCCCAGTGTGTAACTCTGGATCCGTAAAATAGAGATATATAAGTGTTTTTCACTTGTTTTTATTGTCTTTTTCATTGAATTTGAAAAATAATAATACAGGTATGTGTAATGTACGCATCATATGTCTTAACTATAATGCATTTCCACAGACCTGACTTAAGTGTCCTGGAGGAGGGATGTGTTTACCTTCCACGTCAACAGCATGTTCCATTGTGTAGTTTGACTTATCTCCATGGAACCAGCTGAGTTCCAGCTCAGTCATGCACTGGTGCATTGAAGCCGTGGTAGTTATCGAATTTACTGTGTAAATCCAATCTTTTTGAAAAGTTGTTGCAAAAAGTTGTCAAATTTGCAACGTGTTAATTAGTATTCTATTGAACGCGTGTAATGTCGCCTCTTCTCTTAATCCCACAGCCGTCTCTGTCACAGACTTGTGTGCTTCCTTTTCCAGACGCGTAAACGCTGAGCCTGTGCGTCTCTCCAAACGCGTCCTTCAGCGGAACAGTTTCCAGCGCTCCCTAAAGAGGGCAGTCAAGCATGTTCTTTCAGTGCGCCCCGCTCCGTCTCCACAGCTCCTAATGGCCAATGCCTCAGGAATCCAACATTACACACAGCGGTGGATTTTCCAAGCAGCCGTGGCGGGGGAAAGACGACGCAATTAAAACGTCGCCCAGCTTTTCAAAGCAGCTTTTTTATTACCTTTGCGTAAATGGCGTTGGTTCGGGCCGTTGCTGTGAAAGTATAATAGCAGGCAGTGCATGTGAACGGAGCGAAAGGTACACGTATTGATTTATATGGGCGTATTGTTGTGGCTTTAACAGACTGGCCCTTGTTCCCTAATCCAGAGTTGTTGTTTTTTCCCCCGTTTGAAACTTCTATTGAACAATTTGTCTCTCGATCCTCTGTCTGCTGATGTGAATAGAGAGATGCGCCTCTTCACTACATACTGTACAAGCAACAAGCGACAAGCAGCCGTGTGGGAGAACTAACTTTACGCATTTTCTGTCATCAGATCTAAAACTCATGATTATATTTCTCCTACACACATATAATACACTTTTAATGCTCCTCCATGGGCATAATACTGCACACATACACACACACACACACACACACACACACATACACAGATACACACACACACACACACATACACTACAGCAGTAACGTGCATATCCCATGAGAGTATTCAAAGGGCCTCTTTCTTTTTTTCCTTCTTGCTCCTTCTTGTTGACATGCAAACACATTTGTCAAACCTGTTCCACGGCTTTTGTATTAATTTGAGATTTTTCTGTAATTTCAACAAAAGCATTTATTTACAACACAAATGTACAATATATACCCCTTCAAAGTAAAAGCAAAAGAAACATGTTTTTCTTCAAAGGAACCTTTAAGATGTGTGTTATTATACATGTCCGAAGCAATGAATGCACCTCTCATACACACACACACACACACACACACACACACACACACACACACACACACACGCACACACACACACTCTCCCTGCCTTCTTCTTGTGTTACATTCGGCTGTCTGTAAATCAGCGGTACCACATATGCTTAAGTTGAATGTAAAGTCATTACTTAGAGCCATTTGCTTTTAGCTTTCAGTGGCGTGGTTTGTTACGAAGAGGAAGATGCACTGGTCCTGTAAGGCTCAGAATTTGACACAACATGCGTTAGAATATGAATAATCTCAGAGACCAGCTAAAAATGAAATAAAAATGGAATTGTTTGATGAACCAAGCTGGAAGTAGAGCAGCGCTGGGCCAAAACAGAGGATGCAGGAGTAGTTTTGTGGCTTCAAGCACGTGTGTAAATGAGGACGTATTGTATCATATGCATATTTATGAATGAATGTCGCAGAGTACTATATTGACCTCACTGAAAGACTTTTGTGGTGTTTTAGTTTATCTAAAATTATAACTTTTAAACAGCACCATGTCTGGATTGCGTTGGGCAATGACTTTAAACATGCCTGTATGGGAAGTGCTAAAATGATGGCATGTTTTTTAGGTATTCACTTTCTTTGCTTTAAAAATGCATTGCGATTCTTTGTAGCCAGGGTGGGGGGCCCATACAAGTACAGCACACATACGGTGTGAAAATAAAGCAGAAAAAAAGAGAAAAAGTTCACATCCTTTTTTTAAAAATCTATTAGAAACAACATAATATGCAGAACAATACAATAGAATTTACAATACTTAAATTCCCAGTCCATGTGAAAGTCCAGCCACATTTTACAACAGTATACAGTATATTTTTGTCTCAGCTTGCTTCCCAAACAAAGGGTTGATATAGTTATATTTTTTAAATTTAATTCTTTCACCTCCGTATTTCAATCATATTAAAGGGCACCATTGCTTTGTCTTTGTCAGTTACGGACATTGGTTTCTCCTTGGTCCTTTTCCATCGTGCCAAAAAACCTTTAGTTCACAATGAAGCCAAGAAGATATCACTTGGTTCACAGTTCCCAAAATGCAGGCAACTGTGGACTTGTGTCTTTTTCCGTATGACCATCGCAATCGCTGTTAAGGGAGAGGGCCGCGACCAGAGCCCCAGAACAAACCAGAGCTGGGCGCCTGAGCTCGGAGAAGCAGAGTGGAGCTGAAGGCAGTTTTGAAGCAGTGAGGAAATGTCCGCCATGTTCAAAGATCCTGACAGGTGCAGGCAGACTTGTTTTTGGCTGGTGTTGTCCTGAAGATAGAAGTCCTGCTCCAAACTCAGTAGGCCACAGGGAAGTAGGAGATTCCCTGGTTTATTTCTGTAGACAGACAGAAGCATAATCATCAGTTTCAAGCCATAAGCCTCACACAAATAAAATATAAAACTGTAAGCTAAGAGAGAAGAATTAAACAGCATGATTGAAGCCTGATCCGGCGAGCACGGGTTGAAAGTCGATGAAGTCCATGAAAATATGACTGAGGTCTTTCACATATTCATTAAAACCCCTTTTAACATCTGTCATGCGCACAACCACATAAAAACAAGCATTGAAACCTATCCGAGTCCGTCTCTTTGACTACATTCCTCTCCTTAGAGCCAACAATGCGTGCCATCCATCTGTGTAGGTGGACAGTCACCACTGAGGAACCACGGACATTGTTTTCCGAAACTAAATAGGAGAGACTCACGGCCACCCGTCACCTGCAAAGTGCCCAAGGCTAATCCACGTGTGCACCATACACACAGCAGCAGGGCACCGTGGACCACACAGACACTTAACAGGGGATGGCAGTGTATGGACAAACTCAAGGGCCATCATTTCAGAACTGTTCACCAGGGTCACTATACTGGACTTTTCAGTTAGATACAGGATCAGTATCAAACGTACAGTAAGGATTTTCAGCAGCTTCAACAGATTACAACATGTGGCAGGCGAGTCCCACAATAATGAGAGTACTGCGTTCTAATAAGCACTGTGAAACCCTTGAAAGAGCACACATGTTAATCAGGCTTTACCTAATAAGCCAATCAATAACATCTAGTCTGCACTGGGGAATTGCATTAGGATCAACTGGGAAACATGAAGGAAGACAACATCCGGATGTAAGGATTATTTATGAACAGTAAAAGTTCAACCAGCACAAAGTAAAGCTGAGTCTGTAGGTGATGATGGCTGCATGAGAGAGGCAAAGGAGAGGGACCCCGACCCCACAGAGAAAGGTTAACAAATTTGTGCTTAATGATTGGTGCAATGAATCTTGGAACAAAGGGTCTCCAGCAGAGACTGGCAGCAAAGGGGTTACAGCAGGGTGCACTGAAGCGTTCTGCCCGACATTTTGGAAAAGCGTCACATGGGAAAAAAATTCCATATCCTCATGCCATTATTTGGTTCAGCATGTGATAACTATTGTCCCCAAATTGGGAATTACAGTTCGAGAGGGCCGCCATTGGCTTATTGAGCAGAAGCAGGAAAGCAGGAGGAAGGAGGAAGGGCTAAGGGTCAGAGCGTAGTCATTCTAGTTGCTTTCAAAGGCTCGGCTCACTTCTGCTTGACTGACCGGGCTTCATCTGTGCTGACAGGTGTATTGTTTCACAAGGGGATATAAGCTCTGTAATTATCATTGGGTGGAAAGCATTACGCTCTTCACTAAGCAGGACCAGAACTAATTGGCTTTAGTTTTAACTAATGTTGCAGTGTGACTGCTAGGCACACCTTCTGTATCAGGGATGAGTACTCAGACACAATAACCGCTCCACTGAGCCCTGCAGTAGCAAAGTCGCCAGTGCCATAATGAAAATTGCTTATAAAATATAATGAACCTGTGCTCTCTTAATCAAATAAGATAACAGCCTCCAGTAATAACCTATAAATGTAATTGGTCATGAAAGAATAGCCCATATAAGGAAAGAGCCATATTTGACAGACAGCAGTAGTAGTTGTAGGAGCAGTTCTCACTGAGTCTCTTTGCTCTGCTCGTTCCTCATTCCTTCCTCTTCCATTCGCCTCAGTGCCATTTACTCCTCTCTCCTCCTCCTCCTCTTCTGGCCCCTCCCTCAGTCTTTTTTTCTCTACTGTCGGCTCATTTTCTATGTGCTTCTCCGTCTCGCGAAGGATTCCTCTGGTGGCCCAATTACGAGATTCAGCAGGCAAATTGAAGCTGTTTAAAGCGAGGTCTGCTGGGAAGGCTAGCAGCTGGTGGAGAGAGGCTGCTTGGACACGACCAAACAGTCCTTGTGTTTACACACAAACATAGACATACACAAGCTGTCTGGTACACATGCACCACGCTTTATTAGCATGTCTCTCTGCATTTCAAATCTGAGAGATTCCACTGCACCACAGATTCTGTTTTGTTTTGGTTCTGGACATTTGAGGCTGAAACAAGGGTGGCACTTTTTCAACATGGCTCATACAGACACGTATGCACTTTCGGTGGCGGGTTAATGGTCTCTATTTTTGTAAACTGAATAAGTCAAATCCATTGGTCACACCTCTGCTGATGGCATATTTAATTTGGATCTAGTCAATTAGGCCCAGCTAAGCTCCATATCCTGCTGGCTAGTGCCTCCATTTTGCACTAGTTTATGTCCCTTCCTATGCCAAGAGTAATCCTATTACTGCACACGTACACCGCATGCATTGCACACTCACACAGACAATGTTTACATTTTATGTGGAGAGTATACAGCCAGGACCAGTACTCACAGGTGCAAGCAGAACAACATAAAAAATACAATGGTTTTCTGAAATTATAGGACCCATAGCCCTTTTACACAGTCTGCAGTGTGACAACATCACGCCGGTATACATCAAGAATTATGTGGGAGTCTATTTGGCCCTGGGGCGAGAGAGAGGGAGGGAGAGGTGGAGAGTGAGAGGAGGTGAGAGAGGCACACAGAGCCAGCCAGATTAAGGAGAAAAGAAATGTGTTTTTGCATAACAAGACAGACACAGTGAGCAAAATCATAAAGAATAAAAGTGCAGACAAATGGGCTGTAGCCAAGCTTATTAATATATTCATAAATCAACAACCACTGAATGTGAATGTGTCAAATCAAACTTTTTTCCATCCTGATTTCTAGTTCATTCCTTTATTTGAGTCAGTGCTCTCTTTGGGAAAATGTAGTTTTTTTTTCTCGTGTTCCTATGCCCCAAAGCCTCCCTTCAGTCCTTCCCTCCCTGTTGCAAAAAGACTGTTTATTCTTGTATCTTGTGGATATGTGAAACTGCTGCACGTACACACTACAGAGCTGTGATCAAAGCCTCTTATCACCAGACCAAAGTGGGAGACAGTAACATGGGAAAATCAACCAGGATCACAAAAAGGGACCCAGGGAGAGGTAAAAAAAACGCCCTAATACCATAATAGTGTATTATGGCACTGTTTGAATGTCTGTTTGTGGCCCCTGTCTGCATAAGTTAACTAACAAGCTCAAATACTGAAGCTGTCATAAGTAACATCCAGACCATTCAGAACATACTCGACTGCTGTCTTTTGTTAATATTCTAGCTTTGACAATATTTTCATATAAATGTACATCGTTACTACTTACATCCCCCTTCGTGTTGCGATGCTTGGCACTTGGATACGGCTACATGTAGTGCCACTGGCCTTCCATTCCCATATTCATCCCCATACCACCCATTGGACCTGCAAAATATGTTCAGATGTTCAACTTTATGTAGACAAAAGAAAACACACTGGTCTTAACACCAGCGAGACTTGACAGACAGCATAGCAAAGGTACAGGGCTTTTCCAGAGCTTGCAGAAATGAGGCGTGGTGCACTATAGTGGGTGAGGTGGGGGTTAAGTCGTCTTGGCAAGTTATCCAAACCTGCTGACTTTGAGCGTTAGATAGGACTTGGGAATCCTTAAAAACAGGGGATAGAAGAGGAGGTGGAGAGAAGCTTAGAGGAACAAACTTAAGGATTAGACCTGATTGCGTGAGAGAGCGACCAAGACTGTGTTAAGTGGTTGAAGAAGCTTGTGTAATGTGACTGCACACAACTGCGAGTGTTCTGTCTGGTCAAGAGGACTGGCCTGGCTACAGCTTAGGCTAATGCCGCTAATAATTAAACAAGTAATGACTGTAGAAAAGATATGAGGCAAAGTTTGGAGCGACGCAAAGAGAAAGCCGTACCAGGTGGTCTGATTCCCATGTGCTGCTGGCCGTCCATGACGAAGCCCCCCATTGGCTGGCCATCTGGATTGTAGGGAGCTCCTTGACTTACTGTGGAGAGAGGAGGAGAGGTGGACAGGAGGGGAGGGGCACAGGGATTGGGAGGGAGGGAACAGAGTGGTCAATTAGTGCTTTTAATTAAGGCTCAGTGGCCGGAGTCGGATCATCTGTTGGTCAGTGCACGCACATGGAGGTCGCTTTTGTCTTTTAGGGTCAAAGTGAAATGTGTACATACAATATATTCAGTTCTATGTTTGAAAGTGGACTGGACTTACAATCTATTATACATTAGAAATTGACTAATATTTCCTGCTCCAGAACCCATCTATCATCACTAAACCACAACACAGACACACTTTAATTCATTTCCGTTTATGTTGGTTTAGTCCTAAAGATTAGAAAAGTGGCAAGCAGTTATCTCGGAGGACTTTACAAAGTTGTCGATTGGTCCATAAGGGGCAGAAAACCAATGTCCATAAATGTTGATCCAGGAAGTTTTCTATGAAGTGGAACTGCATCTCTTGAAGTCAGAAGTACTTTTTTAGTTATATTTAAATCATCTCGCCTTATTGTGTTTATATTTTGATATTCTGGCAGGCTTCCCAAAATATTTAATTTTTTTCCCCCAAGCTCAGCACCCAAAATTAGATCCCTGGCCTGGAGAAGCCCCAAGAAAATGGTACAATATGATAAAATCACAGTGACAAAGGCTCCCATATTTGAAATACAGTTAAAACAATATGAGAAGTGTCCTAAACATTCTACTGTTAATAAATCTCCTCAAAACAGGTTTTCCAGTAATCTGCTGCTTTCTATAAGTCCTTCTTCATAACTGGGCTCAGAGGGCGCTTAATCTAATAAATCCTGCTTTTAACTGAGCAGCGACGATAAGTGAAACCTGAGAGGGCTCCATGGTTTTTGCCTGCATCCATTGTTCTGCTCTCATAGAAATCCACTTACCTCCGATTGGGGCTGTGTATGCGGGTCAGCCAAGCAAAAGCAAAAACTTGGCCCCATTGAATGCCTTTGAACTTTACTGCGCCCCTAATGCCACCCTGACCTCTGGCCCCTATTACAGGTAATAAAGTTTACAGCGGTCCAAACCAAGCCGTGCACCAGGGGACTCCCCTCGCGCGCTCTCTCTCTCAAACAGGCAAATGGGATAGTGGGAGGGGTCGGGTTAAAAACAGGTCTGGAGCCAAGAAGCCAAACAACGGTCATCCAAAAAAAGAATCGTGCCTAATGTTTTGGTCTGAGCCCGGCCAAAAGGACAGGGGACTTTTTTTATAAACTGACTTTTCATAGTCTACCCCAAGTTTTGCCATTGCAGTTGTAGTTATTTGAAACTTCTGCTTGTTGCATGCGTTCAAATCACTGTACATAGTCAGCGTTTAAGTGACCCCAGGTGTACAGCCTGTCGACTGCTCTGACCCGACACAAAGAAAATCCTATAATATCAATGATAAAAGACTTGCCTGCACGGTTTGACTGGTCAATCATAGGCTGGACTATTCTCCTCCTGGCGTTGATGAACCTATAAACACATAAAGAGAGCAAATCGGTCAGTGAAATATAACAACACAGCACTATACAGCAATATTTTCAGGTAAAAGTCTTGGCAGCAAAGGCCAAAACAAAACTGCTGCCAACTCTAATTTTAAGAGGATAATATGTCGAAAGAATGCTTCGCCTGGCAACCATGAATTAGTTAAAGCCCCTAAAGAGCTACAGAGAAAGTTAGATCGTAACATCCTTAATAACTATTGTCTTCCAAATAGCAGAGCAGCCGGACTTGTGCAAACTTGCCAAGCCTCGTCAGAATACTGGGGTCTTTGTGCTGGGAGAGAGGATTTTCTGTTGTAACATGTGGAGCCATCTTCGGAGTATGCCACTAAAATGTATCGCTGTTTTGTCGTAGCCCAAGTTACTTTTAAATATCTGTGCTTGAGAGTGGACAGGTGATCGGTTTGTGTGAGGTTTATTTTAGTCCATAGTTGTGAGTGTGTTTTCACAGGAGCTCTGCATGCTGCATTCGTACCCTCGGACCAACCCCTTTACCCCGTGACCCCCAGTAAAAAGCCACAGTTAGACCATTTAACGTGCGCACTCACACAAACACTCACTCATATTAAAACGCTCTGCTCCTTCTGCATTCTCCGTCTCCTACATTCATTCACACAGTCTTCTTTACCCTCTCACGGAGCCCCTGCCCCGGCCCTGCTCAGCCTTCACCCCTTGTAAAATGACCCTTTGACCTGTAAAGACCCTGAGGAGGGAGGCCTCTTGGGGCTTCTGACTTGATTTATGTGTTCCTGCTGTTTGGCTCACCGGACACTTCCATTTCATCTCCAAAAAGAGGGCAGCATTAGGCGAATTTAAGGGAGACAATGGTGGGACAGCTCAACTTAAAATAGAGCATTTAAGGAGCAAAGAAAAGAGTCTTAAAAGGGGAAAGGTGAGAAATGCATGTGGACTTTTTCTTTTAACAAAATCTAAGCTACGAAAGGCTAAAAAAGGCTTGTTTTGATAATTGAGTATTCTAGCAATAACTCCTTTGATTAATAAATAAGTTGTTTATAACAAAAACGTGATCTTTTATCTCAGTTTGACCCATATAAAGCTGAAGTGAAGTCACCAGAGGCCATATTAATAAGATATATTTTCTTATCAGTAAACATTTCTGATAAGTGCCATGTAATGATTGTGTGTACAACAGATTAATCACTTACTAAAATAGTTGTTGATTATTGTAAAAAAAATGTGTGATGAATCAATTAACCATTGCAGCTATAAACAAATGAATTTCATAGTGATTTCTGTAAACAATATCATTTATGAAACTTATAAATTTCCTAAATAACAACACATCCAGCACAGAGTTCCTGGCACAGAAATGTTGTCTATATAATATATGAGTAATTTAAAGAAGGGGAGAGAATGTGGAATGTAAGAATGCTTGAACATGGCAGTGCACCATCAAATGAGAGAGCGTCTGGAGTTTTATCACCACTCAGGACTTGCGCTGTCCTCCCCCACTGCACAGTTGTATGGGGCTGCGGGAGAGATATGGATGGGATGGAGGTTATGGAGGTTTCAACATTCCCGCCCTGATTTTTTAGCCTTGCTTTGAGTCGTACTACAGTTTTAGATAAAAGCATGAAGTCACTGCCAGGGCCGCCACCAACTTTGACCTGCAGTTCTGTTTGTGCTGCCTATACCTTTTATGGTCTTGTGTTTGCACGTTAAGATAATGTTGAAAGAAAGTTGTAGATCAACATTCTGGAGTAACACTTCCTGTAATATGCTTAGTGTTTTTCTAACTCAAGTCCAAACTGTGGGTCATGTGATATCATTAGTAATGTTTGTTTTTATTTATAGCTGCTAAGCTCAATAAAGCTGGGGTGCCTTTAATCGTATAGTATAATTTTCATACTAGTGAGAAATAGCCCTATCACTACTTGACGCTTTGGAATGATGGCTGAGAAAGAGTGGACCTCCCTTTTTCACTTTTCTGTCTGAAAAACCTGATCTGAAGATGTGACAGAGGCCAAAGTAGAAATGCATGTAAAAACTAGTAGTAGAACCAAGCTGTTTTGAGAGCGAGGAAATGGTTGTAGATAGTAAATGCATTTTATTATACATTTCCCTTATTTGTGGTTTTTAAGTTGGGTACCTTATATGTATCTTTGCACTGTCCATAATATATGAGTTTTGATTGTAAAGTAACCTCCCAGTGGTCAACTATATGATTAAACATGGCAGTAGACGTGCAGAAATCCTAACCCCATGCCCCTTCGTCTGTCCGGGCTTCCTGTCCCCGTTGTCCCCATATCGGAGGCCAGATGCACCATGGGGCCTGGAACAAAAGGATAAATGCCTCTCATAATAGCAGCCAGGGACCAGCGATGGCGAGTCGGACAGACCAAGGGGCTCTGGTCTGTGAACCAGACACTCTCGCAGTGACCGTTAATAACCCAACAGAGGGGCGAAAACGGAGGAAATGTGTGGCCGAACGACACACAGAACCAGAGAGAGCTCTATTAGAGGGAGTCGGGCTTCACCTTTGGGCGACCCCTGGGTGCTATAGGGCCAGTGTTTATAGCCTGTTCATTCCCCTGCCTCTCATCACGACACAATGAGCTGCACTATTCAGCTTGGGTTCACGTAACAATAGACGGGTTTTTTTGCGTGACACATCAGAAGTGGTACTATATGATAAAAGTTAAGAGCAATAACAGGGCAAGTAAATGTCTTTAGGATTCAACAATATGAATTTGTTAACAATCTCTTGTACAGATACATATATTGTAAACAGCCAAAATGTTCTTTTGTACATTTAGTATATATTTAGGATATAAAGGCAAGAAACAATATTTTTGTTATTATGTATTTGAATCGTTTCGGTGTCAAAGTAGATGAACTGCTACAAGCTTTCTAATGTGTCACACTTTCTGAACTGGTTTCTCAAAAACATTCCCCTACCTATTCCTTATTTTGTTTTGACTTTTAAAAATATCTGTTAATCATTTTTGCAGTGCAATTTTAGGGATCCACCTTTGGCCTGTTTCACATAATTGTGTGGAAAAACTGGCACTTAAAGGGTTAGCACATATATCTGAAGACATTGTAGTTTTGTTGTAATCAGAATGCTGCTAAATTGTTGTGAGCGGTGTAAAGAGTTTGATTCCATTCTTTGTTTTTGTCTGTTTATCCTGGTGAAATGTCTGGAGTAATCGCCCATAGCTCCTCTCCTCCTCCTTCAGCAGAAAGAGTGGAACTGATTGCGACGCAGTCTGCCAAGCCCTTGCTAATGTCCCATTCTCATTACACCCAAGATGCACACACACACGCACACACACACACACACACACACACGCACACACACCAGCGCAAACTGCCCTAGAGCGGAGAGAAGCGCACACAGGTGTACACCAAGCACACGTGAAATGCCCAATTAAAAGCAAGAAATTGTCTTTTTCATCAGCTGCCTTTGTTGCGTGACCAATTAGGGGATAATTTAATAACGAGCAGTGGAAAGATGCAGATTGGATATACAAAAGGTTACTCCATGAGCTGGTTGATTTAAATTTATGTGAGTCTCAATTTCTGTGGCACATACACAATATATTATATTAGTAATATGAGTCACACAGCATTGCAATGTGACTGCAAGGCTAACAAGAGACAGGACTCAAGTTTGGACATGTTTATATATATTAGTAGCAGTAGTACGAGAAGTAGTAGTAGTAGGAGTACAAGAAATACAGTAAAAGCAGTAGTCAAAGTAGTATTAATAGAAGTAGTAAGAGTAGTAATATAAGTAGAAATTTTAGTAGCAGTAGTAATCGTTGTAATAGTAGAAGTAACAGTAGAAGGAAGAGAAGTAGAAGTAGTCAAAGTAGTAGTAGTAGTAGTAGTAGTAAAAGTAGTATTAATAGTAGTAGTAGTAATATCAGTAGAAATATTTGTTAGCAGTTATAGTAGAAGTAAAAATAGTAGTAGAAGAAGGCAAATAAGTAATAGTAGTAGTAGTATTAGTAGAAATAGCAGCAGTAGCAGTAGTAAAAGAAGGCAGAGAAGAAGTAGTAGTAGTAGTAGTAGTGGTAGCAGTAGTATAAGTAGAAATAGTAGTAGTAGTAGTAGTATAAGTAGAAATAGTAGTAGTAGTAGTAATAGTAGTGGTAGTGGTAGTGGTAGTAGTAGTAGATGTAGTAGTAGTAGTAGTAGTAGTAGGAGTCATAGTAGTGGTAGTAGTAGTAGTAGGAGTGGTATTAGTAGTAGTAGTAGTAGTAGTAGTAGTAGTAGTAGCAGTAGTAGTAGTGGTGGTAGTGGGGGTGGAAGTCGTAGTAGTAGTAGTAGTAGTAGTAGTCATTCACAGAAGCATGATCCACAGTGACAGACATATCTCATCACTATAACAGAAGTTTATACACACATTCAAATAAGAGGCACTTGAAACATCTGCCTAACCAAACACTCGCTCCAACTGCCAATCACTGTGATTTAAAGTCATTGTGCTGCATTCAGGCTGTGGCTGGAGAATGCTTCACCTTATCATCAGGTTGTCAGAGTCTGGCTATTTCAATTCTTTCCACAGCTAATGCAGTGTCCTCAAATTATAGATGGCAAATGTTTGGGTGACAGATTAGAAAATAATTATCTCAAAAACATAAAGCTTGTGCCGGACATTTTACCCCAGATTGCTACAGTAGAATAAGATTATTTTAGCGCCAATGCTAGAATTACTAAATTACTGTAAAGGCAAATGCATCATCCGTGGAATATATTATACTTAACCTATACCTAAATTGCTGCAGGAAATGTTTTCATGAATACTAAACCTGGGTTAAAAACAAGAAATGCAAGTGGCTCTGTGCAGTCCATCTAATCCAGTCCACACATCCTGCCTGTTCCCTTTTAACCCCCATTCACACGGCTTTCCCTGGAGGCTCTCAGAAATATCAAACAGCCTCTACATGTCCCCCTAAATCTCTGTGGGATAAAACGCAGCCCATATACACTACCTGTGAAATA